ACACAGACAACAATAAGATACACTTTTGTTTCTTTTTTTTAAATAAGGGGGAAAGTAGTTTTTTTACAAATTTGTACACATATAATCCTCAAAATCAGGTATCATCAAGTAATGATTCTCCAGCCTACCATCACAAATACTGATCATGAAACTAATTGCATTAGTCACTTTCTTGCATATTTCTACAACCACTTTTTCCCCAAAGTAGCATGATTTACAAACTGATCTATTATGACAATGAGAGTCTCTTACAAGAGTACCTGACCAGCAGATGTTTACTGATATGACATTTCCATGTACTGTTTTATTCTGCTAACTCTTGTTCAGAGACAATTTAAACATCTGTTCCTATCTACACCTGCTGCTATGCTTGGCAATTCCTAGTTTTCAATCCTTTAATAAAGTTATTGGTCTATGAACACACAGTTTCAGTTCCATTGTTGTTTTCTAATCATTAAGAAGTTTCCTTTGACAACTAAGTTCTGCCAGGATCTCAGGAGGCCAGCAAGTGTCACGGCTGCAATGGCAGCACTCATTTCAGCTCCTATCAGGTTTTTGAATCCTGCTAAATAGTCAGACTGCATGAGCTGTGACCCTGAGCTCTTTTCTCCAGGGTGGTTAGGGTAAAAGAAAACCGATTGCTAACATCTTGCATCAAGTCCAAAGGCCAAGAAGTCTGACCTGCTGAAGTCCTCACAGACCAGAAGGTGGCCCATTGTCCCTACTGCCCTAAGTCATGTGCCAAGTTCAGCTGTCGAAGAGAACCTGGCTCCATTTATTTTCCTTTTTGGCATTAAAGCTGCTTCAGCAGTTCCCAGGCAGGCTACTGGATCACAAATGACCGCTGCTGCGGCAGTATGGATGTGAGAATTGAAAATTTTACTGTTGCTTTCCTGTGTTACACAAGCATGAGAACAGAAGTGTGTATTTACAGTACAATGTAACACAGTGGAGCACTAGTAGAAACTCATGGAACAACCTTCTGTTTGTGGGTTTTTCTTTCCTCTTCAGTTTATAAGAATTTTTCGCAAACATTTCAGATGTTAGCAGTTCCCAATAGAAACACAAAGGTTTAGGAAGGCACAGAGCAAAAATTTATTGATGCAGTTAGAAAGTCACCTTTAACACCTAAATGAGCATCTTCTAATAGCCTTTAATGTTGCTTTTCCCTCCAATTTCAAGAAGTCTTCACCAAAAGTGTTATTACCAGAGGTCTCTATTAGCTTTCCAGAATAAAAACAAGAAAAAAGGGAAAAGCTTTAGGACTTTCCCATTGTCTGCGCTGTAACATTTCTTGGTAAGATTTCCCACTGACATAGAGTATAATATACTCAAATTACACCATCAATTCTTACTCAGCATAAGTGTCAACTCTATTAGGCATAGCAAACTTTTAAGCTATTCATGCTTTTCTTTTGCAAAGGAATATCATTTGAATCCTTCGCTTATCTCTTCCTGCCTACGCTTGGTCCAGAGAACAGCTGAAAACATTATTAAAAAATGTCTTCAACAGCGATGAGATTCCAGACTATCTACACAATGCTGCTCTAGGTTCCACTGAGAAGACAGCCCTAACTTCAGAAATTTGGACTATAAAGAAACTAGCAGGGGAAGTGGTATATCTTAGGCACATACAAATTGAAGGGAAAAGACAAGTTAAACGTGTATCATCTTAAATCTATCCTCTAGCAGAGAAATTAGAACAGCTTTCCAACATCTATCAACTTATGTACACAGCTATGTTTAGCAGGAGCTAAGACTCCTGCAATAAGCATACCCTTGGAAAACTACCATAAGGAACTTAATATAATACCTGTTTGATATACTTTGTGAAAATGACAAGATGAATATGAGCATAAATTTGAAATTAAGTACCCTAAATTTTTCTTACGCTCTTTTGAAGGAAACAAGGCTCATGTGATCATGTAGTCCCTCAACAACCCTCAATAACTTGCTCCTGATGACTAGTCCCAAGCAGAATTGACAGCTGGCTGCAGCTCTTAAAGCTCTTCCAAGCTGTCAACCTAGCTGAAGGTTTTTACTTAAAAATAAATAAATAAATAAATAGAAATACAAAAGCATTAAATTAGCATCCATACCAGTGAGGAAGCTGCAGCATGAACGTAACTATTATTTGTTCTCCCAGGCAAGCTGGCTGCTCAGAACAGAAGAGCTGGGCAGTCAGCAAACAAGGTTACAGTAGTATGCTGCCTTTGTCCAAATGGTACCCAGGGAAAGGCACAGAAGGCTTTATACATCAAAACAGCAGGGAAGAGAAGGAGGTTAAGAACTTGCAGGGAGAAACTGCAGTTGTTACAGTGGTGAAAGATTATTGAGGTTACAGAAGGAGACAGGGTTATTGCAGTGGGGGAGACACAAGGCACAAGATTTGTTAAGCCCCACCACCCACCCAGCTTCATTACTTTTAAGACTCAAGGAACCATTTGTTTGTTTATTGCCATGTGTCACCACATATATACAGAGAATGCAATACACGTAGTACTGTCCAATAACAGGGCTAGCAGCTCCGTAGTCATTGATACAGTTCAGGAAATCACACGGCAGTACATGCTGTATTAACCTTTTCTGAAAATTATGGCATCCTCTGAAATGGCATTTATGAGCTTAGTATACTTCAGGGTATAAGCAGAATGTTTATGACTTGACAGCCTTCATCCACGTTCACTTCATTTAACATAACAGCAACTTTCATTTACTAGTTCCCCTTCAGCAAAATTAGTTTAGGAAATCTGACTCTGCCACTCATCTAGAAACAGATTTTCCTCTCCAATTCCCAGAGAGGAACCATATTTGCAACTATCTTTATGTTATAGTTAGCAAAACAAGTAGGGCATTCACTTCAACATTGTCCATTAAATTGGCATTTTGTTTTCTGGACTTTTATTTTTAAAAAAATCACTTTTCATATAGAAAAATGAAAAATTCTTATCTCCCCCTTTTTATCCCTCAGAGTTCTTAAAATTACTGCCTTCCTAGAAAAGGCTCAGGACAAAGAGGAGAAAGGATGAGAAGATCATCTTTCCCTGTCTTCCAAAGGAAAGAAGACACAGAATGCCTGTGAAACCCCAGAAACAAAGATGTATTCATTGATGTAAAATGTTGTAATCTATCACTAACATACACTGAGTATCAGTTAATTGCATGAGAAATGCACATGGTCAAAATTTTAATGGCACACAGTACAGCATAACTAATAAACTGAAGCAACATTCCATATGTTATCACTGTCTACTCTGTACAACATCTGGAAATGCAAATGTTGCACAACAGGATATTATAGAACATTAAGAAAAGAGAGAGAATATTCCATATTCAGTCTTATTTCTTCTAATAAGGCTCAGAGAAACTCGGAAGTGCAGTCATTCACACATGCAGCACACTGCTGCACCAGAAGCCTTTCTGAAGGAAAAGCACTCTCTGAGAACACACAGTTATTTACAAAGATTGACACAAAAATACATAAGCAAGTTACATGGGTATTTTGATTTGTTTTAAATCAAAGAGCTTTTGCAAATGTAAGGCACAGTGGTAAACACTTTAAGATTCTGGAGAAGATCCAAGTGGTTTTGATACTGCTGAAGCTTCTTCGCAGTACTTTTTTTCAGGTTCACCTTCTGAAAGCAAAACCCCCACATCATCTTCTCTCCTCCCTTACCAATTAATCTATACACAGAACAAAACTCATTAACAGGAAGTGTCATGAAAATTATTTGGTTTATATTCTACAGTAAAGAACCTAATGAGAGTCTCTACCAAGAAGAGAAAACAACACAATCTCATGGAAGAACATCAGTATTTTAAATCCTCATGCAAACTGAAGATTTGTATTTAAGATGTTTTAAATAGGTTCCAATCATGTAAGTACAACTGAGGACAAATCAGTGTAAGGCTTCCTTCATTGGGTAAGTAAACTAAATCATTCAGCTATACTTTAAAATAAAGACTAGTCTTGCAAAATACACATTTAAGCCCTCTGCTTGGAACTCCTTGAGACATTTCTTAAAAAATAAACTTTGCAAGAAAGAAATCACCCAAACCATTCAGAAACTCCACTTCAAACACTGGAAGTCTGAATACAGAAGCATCACAAAGTGGGCAGCAAGACCTTCTAGAGAAGCTGTTCTGTCTTGTCATTAGGTAACACAGAGCAAAGTCAGTCATCTCATAAAATTGTCTCTCCTGATACAGGCTCTAGAACGGATAATCATAAATGAGGCTACTGAGTGTTGATTATAAGGTATAACAGAGTCTACAGGTTGCATAGATCCCAGGAAGGAACAGGGGTACAGACAGAAGGCAATGTCTTGCCATCAGTACATAGATTTTTCTAAATCACTCAGAAAAAATACTTTGAAAAAAACTAATTAAAGAAGGGGAGAGGACTGAGAATACAAACAACTTATCAGGCCACAGTAATTCAAAGATTTCTTTTTAAAGGAAGAGATTTAAAAACATAGGTCCTTAGAAGCCAATGGCAAAACCTTCAACAAGAACATAACTTCCCTGCTTACGTTTAACGTCCATTAAATCTAATTCAAAGGAAATTTACTGATAGTCAGAATCATTACCAAAAGCGCAAGAGCCAAAATAAAATCTCTAATCTTGTAGGTGGCAAACCAAGAACAATTTCAAGTATTCTTCACAAGATGTTTATCCTTCACAGTTACTTAAGCTCTCCACATAAATTATCTTGTTCTATTTGACTTCCTTTTAATATGACAATTAAGGTATTGAGATGCTTTTCTTCTCCTTACCTCAACAACTGAGAGTTTTAATAACGACACATTATTACTGGTGCTTATATAACAGTAAACCAATACTGATAAGAACACTGATGTGTTTTGCTAAAAATCTACAACAGCTTTTGCTGTATTTACTATTTGACTGCCCTTATCCTATAGCAGAGGCCATCAACCATTTTGAAACAGTGCAGGAAAAGATACTATTGCATCAAAATACCATCACCAGGTAGTACTTACCCTAACAGGAGGGCTCCGCGCTTGCACCCTTTGCTGCTGTCCAACTTGAGAGCTCTGCAGGTCCTTTGATCCGCAGTTAGCTACAGTATTGATGGGGACCCTTAAAGCACTTGTGCTACCAGTCCCACCACCAGCACTGGGTTTTCGAGGCCTCTGTTTGATGCCGTCCAGTAGTCTAACAAGCAAAATGTTACTGGGAAGTTCATCAACGCCGCAGTCCACTAGAGTCCTGCACTCTGGGCATCGAAGTTCATTTCGAGAGCTCACAATGCCCAGGAGACAGCGTTTACAAAATGTGTGTTGACAAGGCAAGACTTTTGCAGAAGCATCAAGGCGTTCTAAGCAAACAGGACACTCCAACAGATCCAGTAAAGCTGATTCATCCATTTTCTTCGTATCACTTAACCAAAAAACAAATCTTCACAGAATTTGTGTGTTTTGAGCACTCCAAGGATATCATGTTACATCCATTCCTCTTCTGACCATGCTCTGAAATTTTTTGAGGGGGAAAAAAGCATTATCAAGCTGGAAAAAGAGTCAGCAAGACTATTTTATATGAAGATGTTCATACAAAGACCAAAAGAAAAGATCTCCAGACTAATTCAGTAGATATTTTCAATAAATCAAAGGAACATCAAAATAGCAATAAATAATAACAGCAATATACATTAATATATCTATTTAGTTAAACTATTATAACAACTGCTAACAGCTAAGGCTTTTAAATTCAAGTTCCCATAAATTTTAATCTTGAGTGATTCTATTTCCTCAAATTATTCCAGAATGAAGAGTTATCCCCAGTACACTGTTATAATAAAGCTTAATTTTCATAGTTCTTGCTTAATACACCTGTATTGCTGAACATTTATTTGAAATTAGCTTTTCCACAAGAAGACGGTGTGGTCCAAAACAACAAAGCATACACTAACAGGGCATTGCAAGGGGAATTACATTTATGCCAGGACTAAGCCAATAGCAGACTACGTTTCTACCATTTCTGTGAAAAGTAACAGCAACACAGCACACACATCAGCCTTGAAAACAGCCTGTAGCTCTCAGAGTTTTAAGCATACCATAGGCACTGACAAGAGGGCTCACTACAGTGCCGCCTTTAAGAAGCGCTTCAAAAACTATCGCGAAGTGATTTACAGCAGGAAGTGCTACTGCCATATCGTTAGGACAACACGAGTGCTGCGTATGCAGCCGCAAAGGCAAGCCTTCAGCCAGCCTAAGTGTATGCTGCCAGGGGCTGGAAAAGGGAGGGAAAAAAATCCTACATCCAAGAGGCCCCCTAAAAACTATTATTCTGCGGGAACTGACACCAATCTCACCAGGGGAGAAAACAGCTTGCTGAGCTCAGCACTCCCCACCGCTACGCGCCCGCGTACTTGGCGCGGCGAGGCAGCCCCAGCCCCCGCCTGGGCC